CCTCTCTCCATCTATCTATCTATCTATCTATCTATCTATCTATCTATCTATCTATCTATCTGTCTCTTTCTATTTGTCTGTCTGTCTGTCTGTCTGTCTGTCTGTCTGTCTGTCTTTTCTCAAAATTGGACGTAGCCGTATGCTCTATATAATAGTTACGTCTAAATGTGAGACCTGCAAAAACATTAATTAATTTTAACATTTATCGGCGTGCTCTAGCGTGGAAAGATTTTTTACCACGAACCCCACCTGTTACCTTAGCTTTTACTATTGAGCGGCATTGTGTTAATACCCTGGTTCGAATCTCCAATGGGTCTTCACGGATAGAAAAACAATAATATAGCCCAGTTCTTTCGGAGAAGGAAGTTAAATTAATTGATGGTCCTGCCTTTTAGATAACCTTACGCACCCACACAATTACAAATTTTATTTAGCAATACCAACCTGTGCCACGTTTGCAATTACAAATTGTATTTACCTATGCTAATCTGTGCCAAATTCCAGAGAAATGCGTGGCCCCGAAGAGACGTGAGCTGTGTACCAAGTACGAGGTGAAGTGGCGCTTCGATGACGTCAAACAGGAGTGTGAGCGACACTGGTGGGGAGGCTGCAGGGACAACGGGAACGTGTTCGATTCCCAGGAGGAATGTGAGGTCACGTGCCTGAAGAATGTCGTCATCACTGACCCAGGAACCGGGGACCCAGGTAAGTGGAAGGGAGCAGATGTCCGAATAACGATAATAAGCTACATGTGTATCATTATTCAAATAAAACGTCACTTTCTTTCTCCCTTTTCCCCGAAAGTTTCTTTCAACGTAAGGTGACATGTAAATCAAATTAAACTATAATAATTAAATAAAATCGTTCAAAAGAATTTTTATTAAAAATATGGTTTCAAAGAAAGTAAAACTTTCCTCCTTGTCAGTGTGGTACCCTGAATCAGACTGTCGATCTAAAGAGACACCCCAAGTGACCCCTCATCTATAAGTAATAGTCTCGAGACATTGCTTGCCTTTATTTTTGTCGATGGGATGGAGTTCAGAATTTACTTGTACGCCTCCACACCTCCCCCCCCCCAAAAAAAAAATCCCCTCCCCCACCCACCCCCACGTCCACTGTCGCGGTCTCTTTTATTGGCATTATTAAAGTTTTACTGGTTTACCTTTTTCAATTGTACTTAATCCCAATGTTTCAGTGACGTCACCATTGAAAATAAACGGCAGTTCTGGGGCTTATTAACATTCTCTGACCGTAGGCCCCGTCTTTAACCCTGTATTGCTTATGTTTACTGACTTATTTTTAATTACCGGGTGCAGTGCAAGCTTTTGCTTTGCAAGTTTGATTCTTAAGAACAGTTTTACTTTTCAATGTTGATATTTCAGGGTGTTTTTAAACTTATCTTTGCACTTTATGTTTGATTTGAACCTATTTTTCTTGAAACCTAAGCTTGGTTATTGATAATTACACTATTCTTTTGGATGGGAAAGGCAAACTCTTGTGGCATGATAATTTATTTTCTTCGACTTAGTTATATGGGAAACATTATTGTTACCCATGTTTAACTACTACATATAAATAAATAATATACGATCTTTTCAAGCAACCGAAACCATCCATATATGTTCTACCAGTTCCCTTGCTTTGAGTATTCGTGTATCTTATTCTACTTTAATGTACGAATTATTTAAAAGTCGTTTTCCTGTATATTTTCATGGATGTCTTTAATAACCATGAATACCGAACTACCAGCTACAATGCTATTCGTTTCCACCTGCTTACTATATAAGGATTATATTTTTCAAATATGTTTGCCTTCACTTGTACAACGTTTTGTGTTTTTGCTTGTGAAGCAATAACTTAAATAATATGCCAACTCTATGCTTCTTTTCTTTGGCACACTTGCTCTATGTTTCATTTTCACTTTTTAAAATTCTATTTTCATTGCATTACCTATATTGCTTTAAATTGGCTTTATCCAAACGTTTGGAAAGCCCCTGAATTCGGCCTGTTTAGGACTTAACCATTGAGGTTCTTCTGTATTTTTAATGTTCTGATCTTTATTGTTGTTTAAATAACTATTTTGAAAACCTTAATTGAAACACTTTCGAACAGAATAAGTATAAAAATCTGTTAGCACTTTTAAAACATCAGAATCTCAAGTTTATATTTCTCCCTGTCTTTTGCTTCCATTACTCTTTTCCTGGTCACATCTCTCTTGCATGTCTTTGAATGTGCGGATGTCCAAGGATACTCTTTCCGACTTTCTTTTAGCCGTATTCGACCACCCCAGAGATGGATATTAGATTGTCCAATGTTTAAGATACCCACGATTTAGGACCGATATCCAATTAGGAATGTCATTTAAAAAATGAAAATACACATTATATAACACTTCGTAGAGAATGTTTTTTAAAAAACAACCAACTTTAACCCCTTTAAGACTAACGAACGAATGCACAAAGTCGCTACCCCCCAATGATGCTGAGGCGCCCCTCGAATCACTCTCCAGATTTTGTCAGCATTTGCGATATGCCCCAAGATACGGGTCCCTGTAGGGCCTACCTCCAGAGGTACTTTTATGACCCTCGCGAGCGAGCGTGCAACCCCTTCACGTTCGGCGGGTGTGGTGGAAATGAGAACAATTTCATGAGCCTGGAAGAGTGTCAGAAGGAGTGTATGGGTGTGATTACCCCAGTGGTGACCACCACACAGGCTCCCGTGCCAGAGACTTTGCCGCCTCCCGTGGGCGGAATTACACGTGAGTTCTAGGTTGTTGTTGTTGTTGCTGTTGTTGTTGTTGTTGTTGTTGTTGTTGTTGTTGTTGTTGTTGTATGGCGATTGCTGAATTGATGTTGCTTAATTGATCACTTTTAAGCACAAGGGGGCTATCCCGAAAAATGCTTTTTTGAGACAATCGAAAGTAAAGTTTTTGCCTCTTGTTCCGTTTCTTTGCAAGACAAGGAGAGTTTTCTCTATAACCAAACAAATATACACACCAGTGAAACCAAACTTCTCCTATAGGTAGAACAATACCCACTTTTGGTGTAGGTCAAGATTTGTGGAAACCCCCTAAATCTGGGTTAGCCTGCTTGTCCTTAAAAGCGACCAAATAATCATCATCGAGTAGTTTCGTGTGAATTATGATGGCACCAATGTTTCCTTGCAAAGTGAAAAACAATTAAGCCTTGAGAGCATGGACAAAAGTGTTATTAGAAGTGATGCTAGACTCTTCATTAGATTCGTGCAGTTAGATTCTAAATTAGCCTAGTTTAGTCATTAGATTCAGTTCTTTTCTGAGAAACTTTGCTGCTTAGTTTTTCTCTTCATCTGCATGAAAGCCTGATTTTTTTCCCTCTCTTAGCAGATGCCTCTTGCTCCTCTTCCATAGTCTAGTGTTTTTCGTTACGATCTAGAAATCTATATTCTTTGTACGTTTTAGTCCATCTGTGTGATATATTATTTTTTGCCTCCCTTCTTTCCCCTTCATTGAGTACCCCTTTCCTCCTCCCCCCTCCCCCTCTCTCTCTCCCTCCCTCTCTCTCTCTCTCTCTCTCTCTCTCTCTCTCTCTCTCTCTCTCTCTCTCTCTCTCTCTCTCTCTCTCTCTCTCTCTTTCTCACTCTCTTTCTCTGTATCGGAAGCTGTAATCTGTCTGTGAATCTATATGTTTCTCGCTCTGTCTATCTATCTATCTATCTATCTATCTATCTATCTATCTATCTATCTATCTATCTATCGAGTATTTAAAACATTTTGGGATTTGTTAGTTTTTTCACTTTGTGCTTGCTCAGCCTTTCTCTGCCCTAGTTCCTACACCAATAGCTCCGGTGTTAATGCATGCCTGACACAATCTGGAAACATCATTGTCTGAGGTCAATGCTCTTGGTGCTATTTTTCTGTACTTTTGACTTTTGGGAATTGTTACCACTGTTGCTGATTTGCTGATTGGCTTATCATCACGTTTCGCTGTTTGGGGCTTGCTGACTGTCTTATCGTAGGAATTAGATTTTTTTTCCTAGAATTTTAGGACTCTTTCATTCTAAGTAACGTTGTTGTTTTTGGGTTAGGGTCTGTCCACAGTTTGTTATTTTTTTAAGCTTTTACCTTTGCAGTCACTGCTGACTTTTCCACAAATGCCATTGTTTGATAGTGTGGCTTGCACTGGGAGCGCCTTTTTACGGAGCTGAAATTTTCTATGTGCGACCATAGCATATTATAATATATAGAAATGTATTCGAAATGTTGTATAAGCATGTAAATTTACATAATATGTGTGCTTATGTCTCGTGCAGAAATTCATTGATATTTGTACATTATTAGATCATAATATCTTACATTTAGGCAGACCACCTGTGGTCATGTCACTCACAGGGGAAATTTTCAAAACAATTGATGGCGAAAGACATAATAATTTATTGATTTCGTTAATGAAGGATGTAGTCAGTGTTGTTTTGCAGAATTACTTAGAATAACAAACCTAGAAGCCAAACGCATGAGAAGGATACCACGTGTACAGTAGATCGTCATAACTTGAAAATGACGGCGTACATGGATTTCCCTGACATCTCTATTTTGGCCACAGAGATGTGTATGTATAGCTTGTTCACAAGATAAAAAACGAAATCGCTTTTTTTAACATTCTCAAATCTTTGTATACGGGTTTAAAAGTTAAATGACCAACAGAATCTAAAAGCCGATTCGTAAATGTCACTGCAAACTGTAAGTGTAAGGTTCTGACTCGTTTTCTTTGTAAGCCTAAAGCAGATTTTAAAAAAATAATTAGGGGTTTACAGCATACACCAAAGAGGTTAAACTTATAGTGTGGTCAAATATTCGTGGCCGAGCGTATTGTCAAATATTTCCTGAATTATCGGACATAAACTCTCCAACTTTTGCACAATGACTTGCATCAATTTGTCTTAACTCTTTACTGATCAATATTTTTGTAAACACCTGTTGGTTGTATTTTAGAAATTTCCTTAATGAATACTAGTTGGTGGTTTCTACCGATTTTAAAAGGTTTACAAGAAGAAGACACGGCAGTTGAGAACTGATTCCGCCCGTCACCGGGTTTTTTTTTTTTAAGATGTAAGCTTGTTTGGGGAAGATGCAATTATCAGATTACTCATCTAAACTAGATTCAATATGGTGTAGTAGTGATGTCGGTAGTCTTTGGTTAAGTTACCGGACTCGTAATCGTGAGGTTGCGAGTTCGGGGTTTGACCCTCAGGCCCGACGTTCGATAGACGAATTTTCCCCACTCTACCCATGTGTGAAAGAGTACCCGGCCATAAACAGCGAAGGATCTTGTCAGTATGTTATTGCTTTAGCGCATATAGAATGGCAGCTTGCACAGGAATGCTTCCCATGAAGTTGAGATTGTTTCAGAAAGCTATCCGGTCTGCTGAAGTAGTGTTAATGTAAAACAAAGAGCTTGCTATTGAGCGGGGATTTGCACTCTTATCTATTATTAGTAGCAGCTGAGGTACTCACGTCGGATCTCGAATGTTCCAAGTTCAACCCCAGAAAGAATTCTATAGTTATTGTTGTTTTCTTTTTTAACCTTTTTTTTTAGTTTAAAGTAAAATTAATTTTGGCCTACAGTAGGAGGAGGTGAAAGCTGTAACCTCCCCTCGCCTTCCTTTCAGATGACGATTATATTGAACTAGATGTGAATCATGACGAAAACCTCACAGCGAAGGCTATGAAAACAATGTTTCAAAGTTTTAGTTTGGGTAAGAGTTTTACGGCACTTGCAACACAAACAGGTCATACAAGTACAGAGGCTTAGCGTGGCTGAAAGAGAGTAAAATACACAGAAAAGAAAAAGAGAGGTAAGGATGATATATGTTTGATGAGAATGAAGGATTAAACCACACAAGGGCATACAGCATCTACCCAGGCTTAAGGGACAGCAGTTTCAAGTCTATGTTGAATCAGATTAGACTTTTTTAAAGCTTCAGGAATGTCAGGAATTTATACAACTGTTGCTTCTATTCTTACTTGTGTTCGTGGGTTTTCTTTTTCAGTGACAATATCTGGAGAAAACTACGTGAACGAAGGCACAGAGCTGAAGGTGGCCTGTCAATCAAATGATGGAAGTGAGGTGAGGGGACTCAGACCTGATTAGTTTAGTTTTTGTGAGGTTTTACGACGCTCGCAACTGCATAAGGCCATAATATGAGGGCCATGGGGTGGATGTTAACAGAGAAGTCAAAACAGGGAATCGGGTTTACTCTGCTCATCTCTCTAACCTCAACAACACAGAGTCTGCTTCGACTATAAGGCACCCCGGAAATAGCAGTTCACGAGAGAGTAACAAACAAACAAAAGAAGTAGAGGAAGAGGACGACAGTAAGGATGAGGAAAGAAAAAGCAGTAGTTCCCCATATGTTGTTCCAGCACAGTATGAGCATGACATTGGTTAATCAGACCATATACAATTCTACTATGCATAAGAACATGTTAATATTCGCCCTTTGGGAATGGCATAAAGACAACTTCAGTCAGTAGCACTGCCCTGGTTGGGGGGGAGGGGGTCAATCTTGATTAGATAACGCAATAGTTAGACGCGTTGAAATAAAATGTGGTTAGATAAAAAGTGGCGTCGATAGTCTAGTGGTTAGGCTAACGAACTCGTACTCGGGAGGTTGAGAGTTCGGTGGTTCGAGCTTTAGACCCGACGTTGTGTCCTTGGGAAAGGCACATCATATGAATTTCCCTTATTTCACCCAGATATGAATGACAGCGAAACATCTTGTCATGTGTATGTTAATGTTATAGCATTTGTAAAAAGGTAGCTTGCACTGCATGCTTCCTGGGAATCAGAACTATCCCCAGCGTTGTCTAACGTGTGGCCAACTCACTCAGCAAACAGCTCTGAGATTGCTGCAGTCGAAGTACGCTGGAAACTGCGCCAATGACGTCACGAAATGACATCTCAGAATTTGTCCTGTTAATACACAAACATTGGGATGTTAAAAGTATCTATGGCTGGATTTTTTTCTCTATGTCAGACAATCACTGACTGTTAGGACGTGTGGAGCAAATGAATACGACGATTTTTATAGAACAAAACGAAATCAAGTAAAGATAAAAACCAATGTTAAGATATATTTATTCTTTTTAATACTTCAATTCTTCTTCATTAAGATTTAGCTTTCATAGCATCTTCAAGCTCCTCCAGGCTACACAGAGGTTTGGAATACATGAACGATATGGATACTACATGGGGAAAACGACGGTAGTTACAAACTGAAATTCGTGAGGGTACCAATTTTGAAAGCCTGTTGACTCATAACTGTATTTTTGTTCAACTTTTGGTTGATTATTGTGGTTAGATTTACCATTCAACAACACTTAACTATAAACCACCAGTCAAACAAATATGAAGTTACGAGTCCACGAGCTTTTAAAATTGGCACCCTCACAATTTCCAGTTTGTAACTACTGACGTTTTCCCCCTGTGCTCTTCATATAATTATGCTATCTCGTTCTTTTCCGCGTCTGTAATTTAGCAGAAGGCGTGAGATCAATTCCCCTTAGGGGAGCTTGTTCATCGAGTATCATCTCCGTTTGTCTGCCGAGATGTTTTTAGCCCCCTTAGCCGGGGTTAACCTTAGAAAACTGAGTTGAAGCATCCCGCCTCCTAAATTACCAAATTCTGATCGATCCAGGCGTAATGCATTAAACCTATCCCTACGTCGTGTTTTACTATCGTATCCATACGACGTGGGGAACACTGTTATGCCACCACTTTCCAAAGAGGACATTTTTTAATTTACTCGTTAATCTGATCCGCTCGCTTTGCACAGCTGTCTGTCAAAATTGTTTTTGAGAAATACTGAAAGTTTCAAAGGGATCTTCGCACTAGAAGTATTCTAGGATGTGAAGAATACAGCCTCGGGGGTACAAAATGACCCCAGAGCGTACGGCTAGGGTTAACAATTACATTTATATTTTCAGGAGGCCCTTACTTTCTACCTGGATGGAAATCTCGTGAGGCCTGGCCGGGCGCAGATCTTGCAGTACAAATCTGTGGTGGATGACCGGGTGGTTGTGGTGAGTGAAACGCAGAGCTTTCTAAGTGTATTTGTTTCTGTGTGTGTTGCGTGTGTGTGTGTGTGTTTGTGTGTGTGTGTGTGTGTGTGTGTGTGTGTGTGTGTGTGTGTGTGTGTGTGTGTGTGTGTAAGAGAAAAGAGAAGTAGAGAGAGAGAGAGAGAGAGAGAGAGAGAGAGAGAGAGAGAGAGAGAGAGAGAGAGAGAGAGAGTGAGGCTTGACCTTGACGATTTAAACTGTCACTCAGCCCCCTCTCCCCGCATCCCCTTTTCAAACCCATCTTTACAAAAGAAAATTAAAGAGGAATATAAGCGGCATATGGATCACTACTTTCTACACCGGCCCACGCACACAAAGAACATTTCCACTCGTCTCGCGGTTGCAACTATGTGCTCATGCAGCAACGTCGCCAGTTCGTCACACTTCACCACTTCACCGTCAAGTGACGTCATACTTCGAAGTTGTGTGACGAGTATAAATGTACCCAATGTGCTTACTTTACTTTACTGCATCCGTCCTCCCTCTAGGGCGTCGAGGGGAGAAAGAGCTTCCTGTTTCTAGCAAGTTTGATGGCCTAGCTGTGTGGGATACTGTATGTTCTCAGCGTATCCTTCACACCCTGGATCCAGATCTTTCTTGGTCTTCCTCTTGCCTTGTACCCTAATGTGCACAGGGCCTTAAATGCACTTTCGTGGAACAGCTGTGACTCTGACAGTGAACATTACAATTAATATGATGTTAATGATTTATATCAAACTCTGGTTACACAATCACTATCATTTAACTTTGAAGCTTTGAATCTATCTCATGGAATGGTGTTTAATACCCAGTCTCATCAGAATAATATTAAATTTAGAATTCAATTTTTTTCTGACAAGGCTGTGTGTAGTCTAGCTATGTGTCTGTAGGCTCAGTTGTTTCGGAAAAGCTCGAAAAATCGGAAATCATCTTCTTCAATTAAATCTATTCGAGATGATTTCCGATCTAGCCAATTTTTCTCGACTTGATTTGGCAAGTTTTGCAAGTGACCTCCTCTATTATAATGATATTGTTTGTTTTGCTGTGTCCAGGTGAATGAGCTGGTGATTCAGCGAGCTTCGCCAAGGGACGCAGGAACCTACGTGTGTCGTTCACAGTCCGGGGAGTTGGAGAGTTTGAATGTCATCGTCATCACCAGATCAGGTACATACATTTTTATTAGCGATCGTAAATATTCTTTAAAGATTGATGAATATACTGACACAGTTTAGATCTCTCCCCCAGACGAGAATGAAACTCCCAACTCCTTCCACATGGTGCATATCTTCCCTTCCAGAATAGACTGTATCTCGTGGGTTTCGCTGACTCCTAGCATGTGCAGCCTGTATTTCTTCATCTCTTGTGTTCAACGGCAAAGCGCCCGAAAAAATCTACCAAGGAGTATAAAATTGTGTTCCAGCAGAGTATAAGATTAAAATATAACATTTAGTTATATTCGTGGTGCTTTACTGACTGATATTTTGTCATTTAAAATGTATCCTGCCCTCATTCAAAAAAGATAGAAGGTGAAAGAGACAGGTACAGCCTGAGAAAAAAACGTACCTAAAGAACTTGGACAATTGAAGGTATGGAGGAGACAGGGATAATAAGGTGGGAAAAGTGTGTGGGGGGGGGATGTAGCCATCCGAGTAGAGAAATGATTGGCGCACCATTATAGCTGTTTTCTGGTGCAGACCTATCACCTCAATCTAATAATGCTTTTTTTCCTCTTTCAGTGCCTACAACAACCACTACCACTGAAGCTCCCTATGTACCCGTGGAAAGTTCCAGTGAGTAAACTATTGTGATGGTCTCTGACAAATTGGCCGTCACGAATGCGGTCCTTCTTTCATTCTAAACCACTCTCTGTGTTCATTCATAGACCCATTCATCAATTCATCAATCCATTCGTCTTTCCGCTGATATCACAGTCCATTCCATCTATCTATCTATCTATCTACCTATCTTTTATCTATCTATCTATCAATCTATCTATCTATCTATCTATCTATCTATCTAT